AGCTATAAGAAAGTGAACACTCCCTAGGGAACTCCTATTCCTAGGACAACTTCCCTACTGAAAACATTACTTTACAACGCTTATGTTGTAGCCACTGGCCTCACTGCTGCTCCCCCTCCCCCTCCCTCCACAGGGACTATTCCTCTTCTATGACCCTGGTACAGGCTGCTTTTTGGACCAAGCTTCTGTCGCCATCTGCTGGACATAAGGTGAAAAGAGGGGGCAAGGAGGAGGGAGAGCAAGATTTGAGTTCTTCTTCAACAGAAATGTTATTCTTTTACGATTTTTGTCCAGCCAAAAAATCTGGGGCCAATCAATACGTTTTCAACGTTAGGCCTGTAGCCCTGCTGTATATACAAAGGTGTAGCTTTCAAAACCCTTTTTATGTTGGGCCAGGTGATCAGGGTTAGGTGATCAGGGTTAGGTGACTTGCCCAGGGTCACACAGTGTCAAGTGTCTGAGGCTGGATTTGAACTCAGGCACTCCTGACTCCAGAGCTAGTACTCTACCCATTGTACCACCTAGCTGCCCTCCCCCGCTTTTTTTTTTCAACTCTACCTCACCTTCTGGACAGCTAGGCAGTACAGTAGCTAAGGCCTGGAAAAAGAAAACCGGAGTTCAAATCCTGCCTTACTAGTTATGTGACCCTTGGCAAGTCACTTAACTGTAAATAAGTGGGGGGAAAAATGCAGGGTGATGAGGAGGGAGAGAACACTAATGGATCAAGAAAGGCTTCCTGGAGGAGGTGTCACCTGAATTGATCAGCTGAAAGAAGATTCTAAAAGAAGAGGTGAAGAGGGAATGTTTGGAAGAATCATGACCTCTGCAAAGGAACCTAGGTGGGAAATAATGACAGCTGAAGATATCCAGCATCAGCTCAGGAGCTCATCACCTCTCCCCTGGGCTATTGAAATAGCCTCCTAATTGATCTCCCTGCCTTAAGTCTCTACCCACTCCAATCACTTCCACGTGATCACCCAGGTTATTCCTAAAGCATAGGTCTGATCATATCAATAGCCAGCTCCAAAAGGTCCAGTGGCTCCCTACTCCCTCTGGGATCACATACCAACTCTGTTTGTCATTTAAAGTGTTTTCCTTCCTAGCTCTAACCTCCCCTTCCAGCCTCATTATATCACACACTCCCCAGGCCAGTGAAACTGACTTGGCTGCTCCTCACATATGACACCTCCTCTCGTGTCCCCTCTTAGAACCTCAGGTGTCCTTCAAAGGGACCCAAGGGTCACTTCCTTTAAAACTCCTGACTGTTGGTGCCTCCCCCAATACCTTATGTTCATTTTTATATAATTATGATATACTTGAATGAATAAAGCATTTATTAAGCACTTGCTGTGTGCAAGCCCTGGAGATACAAAAAGTAAGACAGTCCCTACTCTAATCAGGGAGACAACGCCTATGGAAGGTTTTAGCTACAAGTCGGATGGCTAGGTCCCATGTCCTTGGGTCTTTAGGATGGGTCACTGCACAGTGAGCACTGCAAGTAATGCCTCTTCTATAATCACATGTACATATACTTATGTGTAGACATAACTCCTCCTATTAGATGTAAATCCCTTGAGAGACTATTTCATTTTCCCAGTGCTCATCTCAGTGTTTGGCACATAGTAGAAGCTTAGTAAATACTTGTGGATTGATTGATTGATCCCAGGGCAAACTACTCTTCCCTTCTTTGGGTCTGATTGTGCATCTGCATATAGCATCCTTGACCCCTTAACAAAGTGTTCTGGTTAGCTACTCCTCTCTTTATGGTATTTAGAAATAACTTAGCTCAATCCACAATTTATAGGCTTCCAAGGACTCTTCCCTAATCAAGCTAGAGTAAAAGCTATGCTTGGAGTTTGGCTATAGATTTCTTATATCTTGAATGAGAAAGGAAAAACATAAGCAAGATTTTAGTGATAATCACTTCACCCAAGGGGCACAGGGACTTAAATAGAAAGCTTTTAGAGTTGCCGAGATGTCGTGGGTCAAATATTTCTTTGTATTGCATATAACTTCTTTGCCAGAGTTCCCTATGACCGAGGCAGAAACTGTGAAAGGTAACATGTTAAGCAGGCTACTATTAGGCCTCTACTCCCAAAGAAAGAAGAAAAGGATTTATATACACAAAAAATGTTTGTAGCAGCTCTTTTCATGGTAGTCAAAAATTGGCAATAGGTCTGTCTTCCTATTGGGGAATGGCGAAACAAATTGTAGTATGTGAAAGTAATGGAATATTATTGTGCCATAAGAAATGGTGACACAGATAACTTCAGAGAAAACTGGAAGACCTATATGAAATGATGCAGAGTGCAGTGAGCACAACTAGAACAAGCTATACAATGGTAACATTACAAAGAAAACATTTTGAAAGATTTTTGAACTTCAGTCGACACAATGATAAACTTGTGAATCTAAAAGAACGAAAATAAGGCACAGCATTCACCTTTGTTATTTTAGAGTGTTGATGTTTCTTTTTATGTTTGTTGTATAATTGCAAATTTCAATACACCCTGATTTTTGCAAGATTTCTATGTATGAACATACAACTCCTGGGCTGAAGAACACTGCCCGAGAGATGTCAGACTCTAAAAATGGTCAGTCACAAAGTTTATGACTGTGATGACTTTTCTTTTCAAACTTGACGGTATTTGTGAAAAAGAGAAGCCAGAAGGGACATTTCATTTTACCCATGTTGGAGAAAGGTGGGGGAAGGACAGTCTAGGAGGTTGTGCCCAACTCTTAAATGCCTATTCCCTGGCGTCTCTCCATCCCACCACTTTCTCTCAGACTCCGGTGGGCTGTGGCTTTCCGATAATGGCACTCAGAAATGTGGGATGCTTGCTACTAGTCATGGGCAGGTGGCTGCTTTCTTACTACCTCCTTACTGATCTTGAATGGTGTCATTTTTTTTGTCCTGTCATTTCCAAAATTAGAATCAAGTTGTTCTGCTTTCTCTGCTGTCAGTTATCTTCCCAACTTCCCCAAGGACAGATCCTATCTTTTCACAGATCCTTTTTCTTCCTCCTTATGCAATTCTATTGGTAGAAGAAATCACTTGTTTTTCATTGGATTTCTTAATAGTTAGTTGGTCTGATGAGAACTTCAGGGTTTTGCTTGTTCGAATTTCTTTCAACTATTTCAAAAGGCCTCTGGACTAGTACACCTCCCCTTAACCTATCTACTCTGAAACTGCCTTCCCCTACTATCCCGTGTTTGGCTGGTATACTTATGTCTCCTGAAAGGAAGCTCCCTAAGGGCACTTTTGTTTTGTCTCCTTTGCGTCTAGCACAAGGCCTGGTACTTAGCATGTGTTTAATTCGTGCTGGTTAAGGTTTATGGACCCCTTCCCTGCACCTTTTCCATTTTCCTTGTTGCCTCAAACAGATCTGGGAAAGACCTTAGCTAAAAAGGCCAAGGTCTCCCACCTGGGAGGAACACCTGACCCATCCTGGGCCACCTCCAGTAGTCATGACCTATATCTTGGCACTAGACTCAGATGCCTGGAGGAAAGTGTGAGGCTGATGACTTTGTACAGCTCTGCCTCACTTAAATCCAACTCCCTTGCAAGTCAAGACATCACTGATGTCTTTGATCTTCAAGAACAAAGGAAAAACAACAATCCTTGTGGCTTAAAGTCATGAAACTAAACACTAACAACCAAAAAGATCATAGCTCTGTGTATAATGTGCATCACACATTTTTAAAACCTTTAAGTGCCATATGAATACCAATTAACAGAGCTATAACTGGCAACTTTAGCTCTCAAGGAAACTGGGGAAACAAAGGAGACTCAGGGCTGCTGAAAGGGCTTAGGGGATTAAGCTGGCTGAGGAGTGATTCAGCAGGCAGTTACTTAGTATTTATAAAACACCTACTGTGTAATAGGCCCTGTCCTAAGAGCTTGCACAGAGTACTGAAAGCATCTTTGCTCTAAAAGAATTTTCAGGAAGCAGGGAGGGAAAGGTACTATTTGGTAGAGTCCTAGTTTTAACTACTCAATTAGAAGGCATTTTATGATTTGCAAAGTACTATAGCTTATTCGGGCCTCACAACTACTCAAGAGAGGCACTACAGGTATTATTCCCCATTTTACTGAGGACCCTGAGGATGAGAGATCAAGTAATTGACTCGACCATGGTCACAAAATACAGATGAGAATGGAATTTAAAATCACGTGTTCCTTATTCCAAGTCCCAAACTCTAGCCATTTTAAGCTGCCAGTCTGCTGGGTGCTAAACTCAATTCCGAGGTGCATAAACACAAGTGCTGTTAACAGTCTCAATTTTGTCACCTTGCCGCCAAGCCCCAGTTGCCCCCACACTAGTTACAGACGCTACACTGAATATTTAAGATCCTTTTTTTTTAATCAGAAATACCTTTTCCCTCCTGTAAGAGAAAAACCTTCCTTTCCATTAAGCTAGAACTATACACAAAATTCTTTGAATGCTAATCCTGAAGCTCCACTAAACCTCTTAAAACCTGTTCTCGGCATGGGAACAATGTGCTAACCCCACCCTTGCCTTACCACGACCTGACAGGCTGTGAAGCTGTGCCTGGGACCCAGCTGGTTCAGTGGGCTAAGGCTTAACCTACATCTCCAGTGCCGGCTTCCTAGAAGCCTCGAGTCACACTGAAGTAGCTTCCTGATTACTTAAGACCCACCCACAAGGAGATGGGGCCCTTCACTCAAGATGGAGAAATCGCCACATCCTGCTGGGCTGACCAGACTCCTTTCCAGCTGGAGATGAGGCAAAGCAAGGCAAGCTCTTTCTAACCAAGCTAAGTACTGGAGTATCCTTGATGATCCCTTCAGTTCTATACCTAAGGAAACTTCCTTTTGTTTAACTACGGACTGACCTGCAGGTCTTGATTTTCTTGCAACATCAAAACCGAGACAGTGGCCCAGCCTAATACTGACAAAGACTGCTCTTTCACACAGAGACTGTTGTCTTTTTCACGGAGTTATACTTAATCTACCCACTTTCCCAATTCCCAAATGATTCATATACAACCAATCAGTTTTTATTAAATAAAACAATTCTTTTAAAAAATGTTAAGGGACCGGGAGTAGAATACAGGGGCTATCTCCAGATTCCACTTCGACTCCTAGCACTGCCTGGTGCAGGATGGCCACTTTTCTTCCTGCCCACTGGTTTCTCAGCCTTATGAGTACTGGTAGGTCGACGAGATGAAGCCTGAGAAGGAAGCCATGAATTGAAGGAAAAAGACAAATGTCAGTTTTAGGTATTTTACACACCCTTGACCTCCCAATCCCCACTAAAAGTCAAAGGAGAGGTAGGGGACGGAGGAACTTATGGGGTGCTTGGGTGCCTGTGCTTGGACCCCAATTTCTCCCTAGCCTCAGAAACACTATCCCTGGCAGCTTTCCCCTAGCCCAAGGACACTGTGCCTAGCAATTACTCATGAGTGTGCCCCAGCAAGACACTTATCTCTCTCCCTGGTGCAGTTACAAACGGCACCTGAAGGAATTATTAACTTGAATGGCTTTGTACTGGGTCATAAAGACATTCATACCCAATGGACTATCTATACCACCGCCTTACCTCATTATCTACATCCTGGAATCCTTATTATATGCCCAATGGACTATCTATACCACCGCCTTACCTCATTATCTACATCCTGGAATCCTCATTATATGCATTCTAGACCTAAGACATATATGTACACTCCCTACATCTACCTTGTCAAAAAAGACACTGATCAGTGGCAGAATGGGCAACTCTCAGTCACCCTGACTGCTAGTTAACTTAGTGATGTAGCAGGCCTAAAACCACATCTCCATGTCCCAGTCCCCCCCTCTCTTCCCCCAACCCGCCACTGGGCTTTTTCCTGGTGAACTCTGGGGAAAACACCAGCATAGTAGATACAAAAGTGCATGTTCCTTTAAAAATTGACCACTCCCTAACCACTCCCTAATCCCACCCTGAATCACCTAATTAGCATATTTGTCACATGTTTTACTATAGTTTATCCTATATAAACTTCAACTGTACCCCTCTAAGGTTGCAGGTTCCCTAAGAACTTTTGCCTGCTGAATAGCATTAACAATAAACTTTTGCCAACTTGACTTAAAGAATGTTTGAGTTCATGAATTCATTCCAGATGACCCTGTCTTGGACTTTGGTCTTTGAGGGGTCTCAACCTCTCAGATCACAACAGAACCATGGTCAAACAGAAAAGGTCAGCCAAGCAATAAGGTGGGACTTGGGATGACTGGAGCTAGCAGGAGTCCTCTCAATGTCTCTAGTCCCTACTCTTCTCTCACCTCTTTCCGGAGAACCTCTCCCAAGCGTGTGTCTGCATTCCTTCTGGGGATGCCATCCCCTCGACTTTCAACTCTGTCATACAAATTGAGAAGCAATGCAGTGAGACATTCAACACTGCCCCAGCCTAGGGAGGAATGCTCCCCAGCAGCTCAGAACAGATGTAGTAACATCCTCTTATCCCAAGAGGCAGGAAGGAATGATTACAGGAGGGAGAGGACAATGGAATAAAGAAATGATGGGAACTGAGCAGTCAGGATGACAAAGCCTTGGAGTGGGAGGGGTATGGAGTGGGGGAGATTGGGAAGAAAGGAGGGAATAGGGAGGAAGCATAGAGAGCAAGAAGAAATATGGAAGGGCAGTGGGAAAAACTTGCAGGCCTGCCTCCTTGCTTTTCAACCTTGAACAGACCAAACCACCCAAGACCTGAGATAGCAAAGCCCCACTGCTTCTCGTCCCTCCCTGTCCCCCACAGTCTTATCCCTCCTTTCCCCATCTAGTCCTTTTACCCACTATGCTCCGACCCCCTTAAGTACAGTAATAGATCTTCAGTAGGTGGGCCCCCATTGCCTCGGGCCTGGTACTGTCGAAGCAGCCGTGACAGCTCTGCCAGTTGCTGGGGGGATATTGGTCTCCCCTCTCCACCTTAGGAAAACATGATCATTATTCCAGTAACTCCTGTACCCTTAATCCAAGTTTTCTCACTGCCCCCAAATGTGTCTCTCTCTGAAGGTCTCTACCTCTCCCAACTTCAGTCTCCCCACACTCCACACTCAACCTCACCTCTTCTCCCCCCCACCCCACTCACCTCTTTCTGGGGAGCGACCTTCATGGCTGCAGCTTTGTGGAGGAGTTGCAGGGGGCTCACATACCCGGAAAAGACAGGATGCCTTGGCCAGTGGCACTTTAGTTTTGTGGACAGGAGGTGGGGGCTGTGGTAGTGGAGGGGCTTCCTCCCAAGGGGGGACCATTAGGGGACCTGGACAAGGGTTAAAACTTTGCTGATTAGGCAAGGAAAAGCCATTCTCCAGTAAGAAACTCTATGACTTTGCTCAGCACCTCACTGTTCACTTTCGATAACGAAGTTCTACCCTCCCTGGGCTCTATGGAGCCCTTCTTAGTGCAGGACTTACCAGGTTTAGGGGGCAGCAGGTCAATGGTGGGATTCACACAGCTCTGGGGCACTGGTTCCAAGAGCTGTGGAAAGAAAGTGGCAGAGGACCCTAGAAGAGACAGCAGATTGGGCTTCTTGGTCCCTGTGAGGGGTGTGGTCTGGGGAAGGGAATGGAAATATCAGATGGGGCTGAGTAACCTAAAGCCTGGGAGTGTCTCCAAGAAGGTACCAGTAAAGAGAGCCGGAAACAAGGAGAAACAGGGGGCCCGGAAAGGGAGCAATGACTCCTGAATTCCTGGGGAAGAGCCCTGAGATAATTCAGCAAGTCCCATACCTGGTGCAGATACTGCTTCAGCTCTTCCAACTGTGGAGGGGGCAAGCTTTGTTCCAGGGGCCCTTCTCCTCTAGCTCCAAGAACCTCAGGGAATGGCCGCTCTGCTCGGTGCTCAGGAGGAAAGCCTCCAGCTGGGGAGGGGAAGAAAATGAGTTGGTGGCGAGGGTCATAAGGGGCACACACACGGCAGTAAAAATCAAAGATAAAGCAGAAAGGCTAAATCTTGGGAGGTGTGGAAGAGAGTTTGAAAGAGAAGGCTGAGGATAATAATTCAGGTGGGGCCTATTAGAGACAAGATACAAGATGATAAGACACAAAACTAGATGAAAACGTCTAGAGATAGAAGTGAGGTTAAGGAGAGAGGACAGGAAGAGAAGTTTAGAGGAGGGCTGTTACAAGGGAGACTAGTCCAGGGCTAGAAAAGCAAATATTCAAATTCTAGGGGGAAAGAACTGGAGTCAAGGAAGATCTAGAGAACTGACATTGAAGGAACCCCAGTGATGGTCATCCCTAGTTACCTGAGGGTGGAGTAATATCAGGTTTAGGCTCCAAAGGCTGAAAGCTATGCTGGCTCTGGAAATTAGGGCCTAGCAGAAGGGTGAGATCAGGTGAGGGGGTACAAGGGCCTGCAGGTAGCTCTTCCCTTGGCTCCCGATTCTGCTGCAATACTGGCTTCAGAGCCACTGCTGCAGGGGGCATACTCCAAGCCCTCCTTTCCTCTTTCTCTGCTTCTCTGGGACCCGAGGTCAAGGAGCTGGGAGTACCAGGGGGAAGGACCTGTGAAGAAATGGGGAGAAGGCAATTGATAAATGGTCAAAGATGTGAACAGACAGTTCTCAGATGAAGAAATTAAAGCCATCTATAGTCATATGAAAAAATGCTCTAAATCACTATTGGTTAGAGAAATGCAAATCAAAACAACTCTGAGGTACCACATGACACTTATCAGATCAGCCAACATGACAAAACAGGAAAATGATAAATGTTGGAGATGTGGGAAAATTGGAACACTAATACATTGTTGGTGGAGTTGTGAAATGATCCAACCATTTTGGAGAACAATTTGGAACTATGCCCAAAGGGTTACAAAAATGTGCATACCCTTTGATCCAGCAATAGCACTTCTAGGGCTATATCCCAAAGAGATCAAACAAATGGGAAAAGGACCCATATGTACAAAAATATTCATAGCAGCTCTTTTTGTGGTGGCAAAGAATTGGAAATTGAGAGGATGCCCATCAATTGGGGAATGGCTGAGCAAGTTGTGGTATACGAATGTAATGGAATACTATTGTGCTATAAGAAATGATGAACAGGCTGACTTCAGAAAAACCTGGAAAGACTGATATGGTCTGATGCTGAGTGAAGTGAGCAGAACCAGGAGGACTTTGTACACAATAGCAGCCACGTTATGCAATGACTAAGATTGTTAAACTGAACCCTTCTCAGCATTACGAGGATCTAAGACCTCTCCAGAGGCCTCAGGATGGAAAATGCTGTCTACATCCAAAGAAAGAACTATGGAAGTCGAATCGCTATCACTTATTTTTACCTTCTGTTGAGTTTTGTTTCATCTTTCTGATGGTTCCTCCTATTGGTTTTAATTTTTACTTACAACTTCACTAATGTGAAAATAGGTTTAATGGGTATGTAAATGTAAAGCCTATATCAGATTGTGCACCGTCTTGGGGAGGGTATGGGGGAGGAAGGGGGAGAAAAATTTTAAACTCAAAAGCATATGGAAGTGATTACTGATAAATTAAAATAAATTAATAAAATTTTTTTAAAAATTAAAAAAAAAAGAAATGGGGAGAAGGGGAGAGAGAAGAAGAAGATCAGAGCCAAGTGAAGAGGAGGCTGGAGAAGAATCAGTGAAAGGGATAGCCTTTGTGAAAATGATCCAGGGTCATATTTTCAACAAGGTAGAAATCGATACTATTCTAAAACAGAAGATAGCAATTTCTTTTTTTTTTAATTTTTTTCTTTTTTTTATTTTTAGGCAATTGGGGTTAAGTGACTTGCCCAGGGTCACACAGATAGTAAGTGTCAAGTGTTTGGTCTGAGGCCAGATTTGAACTCAGGTCCTCCTGACTTCAGGGCCAGTGCTCTATGCACTGTGCCACCTAGCTGTCCCAAAATGTAACAATTTCTTAAGACTTCTGTGCAACCAACAATTATCCTAAGCTTGAAAAGAAAGGGGAAAAAAGAAACGAATAACAAACCAGGTGAGATAATAACGAGTAGAATAATTCCCCATGAGATAAGTGGTCAAAGGATAGAGGTTTTTTTTAACATTCTTTTTTTTTTAAATTTTTGAGTTCCAAATTCTCTCCCTCCCTTTCTTCCTCCCTCATTGAGAAGGCAAGCAATTTGATATAGGTTATACATACACAATTACGTAAAACATATTTCCACATCAGTAATGTTGTAAAAGAAAGCACAGCCCAATAAACAAAAACAAAAACAAGCCAGAAAAATAAAGGAAGTGAAGAAAAAGTATGTTTTGATCTGCAGTAAGACTCCATCAGTTCTTTCTCTGGAGATAGATAGCAGTTTTCATCATAAGTCAAAAAGATAGAGTTCAAAAGATGAATTGCAAACTATAAATGATTATTTGAAGACATGCTCCAAATCATGAATATTAAAAATAACTAAGGTTTCACCTCATGCCCTGTAAATGGGCAAAGATGACAAAAACAGGAACAGTCACTGCTAGAGGGGCTATGGGAAGAGGGGTGCACTGATACACTGTTGTTGGGGCTGTAAACTGATCCAGCTGTTCTGGATATTAATTTGGAATTACACAAGAAAATTAACTGAACTATTTATACTCTTTGACCGAAACAATGTCACTGTTAGCATCTATTCCAAGGAAGCCAAAGGCAGAAACAAGGTCCAATCCAAAATAGCAGCACTCTTTGTGGCATAGCAGAGAACTGCTCAAGTGTGCACCAATTAATCAGGGAATGGCTGAAAAAACTGAAGCATATGAATAGAATGGAATATTATTATATAGTAAGAAATAATAAGAGGCAGCATGTGGTACAGTGGATAAGGAACTGGGGATAGGCTTCTGGGTTCAAACCCTTCCTCTTACACAAACTAGATATGTGATTCCCCATCCTCTTCTCCCCCAAACCCAAGTCATTTAATCTCTCTGTGTCTCAGGCAAATCTCAGCAGAGGTATCATTTAATCATATTAAAACGTAATAGGGAAATGTTTCACAAAATAAATAAAAATACAATAAAACATAATGTTAATTTGTGACTTTCTAAGCAATATGCATCCAGTAGGGGTATTACCCTACGACAAAATCTACAAAATGGGGTGTGCAAGACAATTCACTGTGGTGCCAGAGGAAACGATTAGAACCCTTATTTATGTATAAAAAAGAAATTAGTCTCGAATAATATTAACTATCTTTAAATAATATTTACTATACATCCTCAAGTGGCCTATTGTTCTCAAATATCCCAATTGTTCTCAAAGTATCCTGAGGACAGAGGGAGGACTGACAATGAATCCCTCACTTGTTTCAGTGTACTGTGAGTTAAGTGGATTTATGGATTACAACATCTATCTTTAACCACCACAAACCAGACCAGTGGCTTAAAAAGATTCTTGCAGAGAAACTACAGACTGAAGATAATAGTAATAACGCAAGCACAAGCAAACAAGAAAAATGGCAGAGCTGGTGCTTCTACTCTCAGCAAAAGCTCTCTGTCATCACTTGACAATGACACTATAATCAAATCTGACGAAGCTGGCCAAAAATAATCGAAATAATCTCAACATCCAATTGAAAAACTGAAATTATAGGTATCAAAATAAGGATTTATCTCCTCTGTCACTAACAATGAACCTCCCTTTAAAGGCAGGTATCAGTGAGGACTTCAGCCTCAGGACTTCCCGAATGAACCATGGTGGACTTCCACATGCCTAGTCCAGAAAAAACTTCTATCACATAAATTGACAACTACCCAACTCATACTCTTAGAACAGTGAAACTTTTTTGATTATGTACTCCAGTGAATAAAAATTTTTTTAGCATGCCTCTCCAGGATATGTGTCAGGGAAGGAGTTCTATTCCTTACGTTGGGAAATGTTTCAATGTGTAAACACAATGAATTTATAGCCTATAATCACATTATGAAGTTCTGGCCAAGAAAATAGGGTTCTTCTGCTCCAGAACTGCAGAAAAAGTCAGCCAAAAGCTGGAAGAAAAGGGGACTACCAGAAAGATGGCACCAGTAAAAATAAACAAACCAGCAGTATCTCAGCAGCCAGAGATAGGCAAGAGACACATGGAGCCTGCAAGCCTTTGTGTCCAAAGGCAGCAAAAGCAGAGGGTCTTGCAAGAAAGGGAGGGCAGAAAGCCCAGGGTAGGGAGCTTGAAAACTTTGGGGAATGGCAATGACCAGAGCGGCAGAGGAGCACTCAGATGAGGGATTCTGAGGTCCCCAACATTCTGCTCTGAGATGCCAGAGAGGCTCCTGAAGATACAATGCTCTGAATCTCAAGAATCTGGGGTTGGGGGTAATATTGAGAGGTAAAGGTCATCCCAGAAACACAACTGATGCAGGGCAAGACAAAGTAGGGCAACCATTCCAGCCAAAAGCATAGCATAAGGCAGAGCCAAGCCTGGCACAAATCCTCAATTCAGGAACTAAAGCTGGAGGGATGCATAAATAACCAAAGACAACACCAACCACTATCAAAAAGTATAGCTCTAAAGGTGCCCAACATGAAGGGGCAAGTAACTCTGTTACAACTATAAGGAGAGACTCAAAGGGGAAAAAAAGGATTTCCACAACAACTTCATGAATACCTACATGAGAAACGAAGCAAAAGACAAAAAACGGAATAAAAACTCTAGAGGAAGAAACTGGAAGAAGAATAAATGGATTGGAAGAGAAAGTGGTAAATCTTGCCTAAGCAACAGACTCCCTGAAAACTAGAATAGACCAACTCCATGAAACAGCAAGAAAATTTTATAAAATATTAGAAAAATATAAGAAAATGTTAAGAGAGCTAATAACAAAAACAGTTGACCAACAGTTGACCAAAAATAGATCAAGGACAAACAATGTAAAAATCATTGGGAGTCCTCAAAACTACGATTTTTTTAAAAAAGCATGGATATTTCAAATCTGGCCTCAGACACATAATACTTACTAGCTGTGTGACTCTGGGCAAGTCACTTAACCCCAATTGCCTCACCAAACAACAAAACAAAACAAAAAAGCATGGATATTCTATGTCAAGAAATTATAAATTAAAATTGCCCAGATTAGAGCCAGAATGAAATTTGAAGACAGAAAGAACCCACTATCACCTAATGAAAAATCTCAACAGGAAGTATTTCAGGAATGTCAGAACTGAAATCCAAAGTTTCTAAGTGAAATGAAAAATATTGCAAGCAGCCAGAAAGAAAGAGCTCAAATACCACGAAAGCAGGCAGGGCACAGACAGGACTGAGAAGATTCTACTACTAAGGACAGGCGACTGAAATACAATATTCCAAAAGACATAGGTTTACAATTAAGAACAATTTACCCTGCAAAACTAAGTGAGTATAATCTTACAAGGCTAAAAAAAATCGATCTTTAAGGTAATAAAAGATTTGCAGATATTTATGATGAAAAGACAAGATCTGAGCAGGAACTTTAAAATACAAACACAAGAGTCAAGAGAAACCTAGAAGATAAATTTATCTGAGCGAATGGAAGGAGTTGCATAAATTTACTGTTTTATATTGAATCCTCTCTTATGGTC